GTGATTGGGCCCACACGGGTAATCTGGGGTAATCTTCCCACCTCAAGGTCCATCGGTTACAATCCTAATTCTGTGTGCAAGCTTAACTGCCCCTCGCCATGTGCCACGAAACATAAGCTATTCACAGGTTTCAGGGATCGGGACACAGCATCTTGGGGCCGGGGTGCAGGGCGTGAGGGCATTATTCTGCCAACCACCCTACTGAACGCTGACAAACACCACCTGTTTTGAGAAAATATAATGAACTCTATTTCCATCCCCACTGGAATCTCTTAAAGTCCACGTTGCTTCCTGAACATGTATGTCAGGGCCAGAAATTTAGGGACTCCGACCTCCTGCGTTCTGCTTTTCTTAATTAAAACCTCACATTCCAAAAGAGACGTGGGATGCTAATGTGGTCCCAATGGTTGATCACAGGTTACCAGGGCAAAAGACATCTAACTAGGTGCGTTTCAAACAAATTGAAAGTAAATGACCTTATGGAGGAAAAAAGAATAATAAAGAGAAAAACAAAGATCATGAAGTTTGACAAGTTACCTTGATGGGATAAACAGTACGGGTAATGGTCTGTTTGCTAAAAAGTAAAGAGAAGGTCTACCTCTGACATATTTTTAAAAAGTACCTGTACACTAGCGTACAATTTCCTCACATTCCTTCCCTCCCACCCTCTCCCTTTTCTAAATTCCCTTGGTCTGTGAACTTGTGGTTTTTGTTTATGAACTAGACCGAGAAGCCAAAAGGATGAATCCATTAGTCCCATTAGTTGATTTGAACTGATACGGTAATAACATCCCAGAAAAAAAGAGCGAGCCTTGCCCTAAAGATCCCCAGGTTTAAACAGATTCATAAAACCCACTTCCAGGTGGAGCACACTTAATGAGCCGACTGCAGACCAGTGGTTCCAAAACTGTAACACGCATACGAGTTAACCAGGATTTTGTTAAATAAAGTTCTGATTCGGTAGGTGTGGGGTGAGGCCTGAGGCCTGTACTTCTGACAAGATCACAGGTCACGCTGCTGCTGCAGACACACAGGCCACACTCTGAGTAGCAAGGAGTCAGATCGCACCTCTGATTGCCATTGTCATCTGCAAATGCGAACAGAATACACAGCTGAAGGCCTGTGTGCTGTTGCCAGTTGTGCATACAGGAAAAACGAGGCCTCTTGAGAAGAAAAACTTGAGCTTTTCTGCCTGAGAGACAAAGTTATGGAAAGTCAAGTCGCTTTAAACTGAATACTTGTCCTTGTTAACATTTTGATGAAGTTGTCATGACAACTTTCCTATTCTCAGTAAAGTGGAGGCAGGTAGGTTTTAACCTACACATCATCTGTAAGACAGAACAGATCTCAAAGGTGATGAAATATCCAGGTGTTCATTTATCCAGTCAATGATCTTACCGAATCCCTCCTGTGATCCGTGTTCATCGCTAAGCACTTAGGCTGGAAAGATTACTTCCCAACATCAAGGAACTCTTAGTAATTTTTCAGGGCATATCAGTCATCCAGATTAGAGACTGTCTCTCACAATCACGCTTTGGTGGTTCCTGTACCCCAGGCTGGTTGCTTTCCCCACACACCCTATAGAGAATGGGGGAGGGCCACAGGAAGACCCTTTTAGTACTTCCCTTTATTGCATTTTTGTTAGAAATTGAAGGCTTGTGACAACCCTGCATCGGGCAAGTCTATCTGTGCCGTTTTCCCACAGCATTTGCTCACTTCATGCCTCTGTGTTACATTTTGGTAATTCTCACACTATTTCAAACGTTTTCATTATTGTATTTTGTTATGGTGACCTGTGATCAGTGATCTTTGACTTACTACTAAGACTCGCTGAAGGCTCATTGATGGTTAGGATTTTTTAGCAACAAAGTTTTTTGTGTTTTTTTTTTGCGGTACACGGGCCTCTCACTGCTGTGGCCTCTCCCGTTGCGGAGCACAGGCTCCGGACGCGCAGGCTCAGAGGCCGTGGCTCACGGGCCCAGCCGCTCTGCGGCATGTGGGATCCTCCCGGACCGGGGCACGAACCCGTGTCCCCTGCATCGGCAGGCGGACTCTCAACCACTGCGCCACCAGGGAAGCCCAACAAAGTATTTTTTTAGTCAAGGCAGATACATTGTTTTTTAGACATAATGCTACTGCATACTTCATAGACTACAGCGTAAATGTAACTTTTATATGCACTAGGAACAAAAAATTTGTGTGACTCGCTTTATTGTGATATGTGCTTTATTTTGGTGGCCTGGAACTGAACTCACTGTGTCTCTGAGGAAGTGTCTGCACAGGACTCTCTACCTGAGAGCTACCCTTGGTGAACCTGGGTAGGTCCTGGTAGAAAGTACTGAGGTTCAATGTAGTCCTTACCAAGGAGTCTGTGTGCCTTAGAATTTGAGGCCGGTAAAGGCAAGAATGAATGGGTCAAGCAAGTCACGATCCAGGACGAAGGGTATGTTGAGAAGAGTAATGACAGTACAGAAAAACAAAAAAGGAAACCACAGGTTTTATATGAGGCTGCAATGCAGGACAACTAGAAGGCGGGCAGATGAGGCCGTCTGGACTCAACTTACCTTTCTACCTCATCTGCTTATACTTTTTTTGGTGTACTTTGCAAATGACTCCCTTTTAAATTTATTTTATTGAAGTATAGTTGGTTTACAATGTTGTGTTAATTTCTGCTATATAGAAAAGTGATTCAGTTATATATATACATATACATTCTTTTTCATATTCTTTTCCATGATGGTTTATCACAGGATATTGAATATAGTTCCCTGTGCTGTACAGTAGGACCTTGCTGCTTATCCATCCTATATATAATAGTTTGCATCTGCTAATCCCAAACTCCCAATTCATCCCTCCCCCACTCTCCTCCCCCTTGGCAGCCACAAGTCTACGTCTGTGAGTCTGTTTCTCTTTCCTAGATAAGTTCATTTGTGTCATATTTTAGATTCCATATATAAGTGATATCACATGGTATGTCTTTTTCTTTCTTACTCTTAGTATGATAATCTCTAGGTCCATCCACTGTTGCTGCAAATGCCATCATTTAATTCCTTTGGATGCTGAGTAGTATTCCATTGTGTACATGCACCACATATTCATTATCCATTCATCCGCTGATGGGCATTTAAGTTGCTTCCATGTCTTGGCTATTATAAATAGTGCTGCTACGAACATAGGGGAGCATGTATCTTTTCGAATTATAGCTCACTCCGGATATATGCTCAGGAGTGGAATTGCTGGATCACATGGTAGTTCTATCAATATTTTTAGTTTAAGGAACCTCCATACTGTTCTCCACAGTGGCTGCACCAGTTTACATTCCCACCAACAGTGGAGGAGTGCCCCCTTCTCTCCACACCCTCTCCAGCGTCTGTTATTTGCAGAAACAGTGGCCTTTCCGACCCTTGTGATCACCACTCCCTTTTTGAACAGCAGGGTCCTACCCTCCCACCTCCAAGCCTTTGCTCACAAGTTCGCCGCTGCCTGAAAAACACAAAAGACAAAAACTTCCTCTATTTTATCTTTTCCCAGATATGATCTGTGCTTTAAGGCCTGACTCTACTGCCATCCTGATATGAAATAGTCTCCCGTCAGACGGTATCTGTGTTTCCTCTAAGCTTCAAATCATTAGCTTTATCTTAAAATACTATGAAATCCTCTTTCAACTATGCGATACTGGGTACTTCTTACTTATTTGTTTCCTCCTAGCACTTAAATTCTCTGAAGACAAAAGCCCTTTTGACCTAAGAGATTATCATGCATCAGATGTAGAGAAACAGATGGTTTCAGAGATGGCAGAGCCAAAAAATGCACTTATAGCTCTGGACTAGTTGCCCGATACTAAGGCAAATTTTAGTTAAACGCCCTTTTTTCTTATTTAAATGTATTTTTTCTTATTTAAATGTATGTTTATTCTGACTGATGTTTGCCTGGAGGACAGCATAGTTGTCAAGGCTGCGAGATGAGTCTAAAATGGAGAGATTTATGTGGGTAAGTTTGGGGAGAAATATACGAATTGGAGATAACCACGAACAATGTATCTCAGAGTTCCTGGGTTTGAAGAAAGATCGCATAATAATCATGACTAATTATGAATTCAAAATGAAACAGCATAATGAGCTTTTTTGAGGTCGGAAAGGTGACTCAAAACGCTTATATAAGAACTTATTTTTCTGTTCTGGAATACACACACACACACACACACACACACACACACCGCACATCCAACAAACAGAACTAAATGTACCGAACCAAGCAGAATCAGGACCTTACTGGAAAGATGTAAATGCTCGGCAGCCATAGAACTGCATTTGCAAAGGAGCAGATTGGCTTTAACCTGAGAACCAGGGCACGAAAACCATCCATGCAGAGACATCAATTTCCCAGCAGAAATGCTGGAGTTTCTAACTACGGAGAACTGAGGTTTTTCCGGCCCAGTGCATAGTGGAAAACATTGTTTTTTAAGTCGGCCAAATTTTCCTTGCGTTCCCTCCCTCTTTCTCCTTTCTCTTCCTTTGTCCCTGTTCCCTGGTCTCCGTCTCCACACAGGAACTGCTGGGAAGGCGACTGGGCGGCTGGAGGACTCAGTCCCCCTGCCCTAGTATGGTCGCAGTGGGTGACACTCAGCCCCGAGCTGGCTTTCCAGGAGCAGATTTCGGTGTAGTTTCCCTACACTTTGGCTGCTAGAGTCCACGCAGAAGGCAGGGAGCCGCCGCGGGAGCACACCCGCCCCCCAGGCGACCGACACTTGCGGGGAGGGCGTGCCGCGAGCGGACAGGGGCCCGGCGTAACCTCTCCATGGTGCGTTTCAACCGGGGCTTTCTTTCTCAGTCTTTTGGTGCAGGGAAGGGGAGGGGTTCCGAAAAGACCGCAGGGAGAGGCGCTGCGAGGGATCCTTAGGGCTGAGAGCGGGGGGAGGAGACAGGGAGGGAGAGAGGGAGAGAGAGCGAGCGGGAGCCCGGGGCCGGGGCTGCCTGAGCGTGGGCGCCGCGCGGGAACCGGGTTTGCTGCGCGCCGCGCCCGCCCTGCCTGTTGAGCGGCAGCCGGGAAGAGGCGCGGCGGCCGCCGGCTGTGGGGACACCGGTGCAGGGACAGGCAGGTGCCGCCGCCGGGCCCCCCTCTGCCGCCCGCCGCCCACTCTCCTCCTGGGCGGGCGGCGCGGATCTGCGAGGCGCGCCCGGAGCTGCCGGCGAGCCGGAAACGCAGCCCGAGGTCGAGACGCCCCCGAGTAAGTGGTAGCCGCGCGCCCTCGCCGGCCCGGGCTCCCGGGGGTCGGCCCTCTCCGCCGCCCCCAGTCCGGGCCCTCGCGTGCCCCTAGGAAGCCCTCCTGCGCTCCCGGGACCGGGCCCGGTTCCCACGCCGGGGGCAGCACCGCGCCCCGGGGCCCCGCGGCGGCCGAGGGCGGAGGGCCCGCGGGGAGTGAGGCCGCGCCGGCGTCACCGCAGCCTCGTCCGGCCACGCTGCGCGTGAGCGTTTCGCGCTCCTGGGGGCCGGGCGGCTGCGACCCCGGGATCGCTCAGCGGGGCCGCCGCGAACTTCCAGGGGGGCTGCCGGGCTCCGCCGGGGAGTGTGCGTGTGTCTGCGTGCGTGTGCGTGTGTGTGTGCCTGTGCGCGCGTGTGCGTGTGTGTGTGTGTGCGCGCGCGTGTGCCTGTGCGTGTGTTCGTGTGCGCGCGCGCGTGTGTGTGTGTGTGTGTGCGCGCGTGTTAATTACTGCTTGGGGATCCGATGCCCACTGTGACCGCGGCGCCCTGGGGAGCGGTTGGCGTCGGGCCGGTGCCCTCAGCCTGTCCGGGGTGGGCCGAGCAGCCTTGCGGCGGCACTTGTGTGGGCGCTCCGCTGCGAGCGGTCATGTGATTTCAGGTTATGCATTCCGTGCGTCTTTCCTTTACTACCTCGTTTCGCAGGGTTGCGCCTTCATTTTGCACTTGGTGAACAGTGTGTATCTTCTGAAGTAAGCCAGAAGGTTGAACGTGTCGCTTAATTGTGACCGGGGCGTCTTGGTTTCCAACACACTGAAACCCCCTGGAATTTTAAGTAGAACGGGTCATATATACAGTTTAAATTAGAGCTTGATTTATAACATATCAGGGTCAGCCCTGTGATAGTGATTTCATCAAATGCTTACCTCCTAACTAGAACTGCTCTTGGGAGGAACATCGCTGACCCTCTGATGACACGTGGATAAGCGTTAGAGCCTTCAGTGATGGATGTAGCTTTTTATACCTTGGTTCCTAGTGTGGAGCTAATCTGTTGCTTTTCCTTAGACGGCTATGTTTTTTTGTTTTCTTTGGGAGTTGTCATTTCAGGTACTATATTATGAAGAGTGACAAAAATCAATAATAACAGCAATTAACAGAAATATGATGTCTAAAATTTAGAAGCAAATCTTAATTTGTCAAAAAGCCATGTTAACAGTGTTATGCTTTTGGTGGAGTTTGCCCGTGCAGTCTGTGCTCTCTGTTCAGTTATTACACAGCTCGGTCTGTGGATTGCTTCCGGGGTTCCTGAAATTGTATTTAAACGTTTGAGTCTCTGCATTTTTAGGGTGATAATCCAGAGTCCTCAGATATCTAAAGGGATCTATGACCCAACAGAAAAATAAGAAGCTCGGAGTTAAAATAAATAAGCTGTACTTTTCACGTCAAAACAGTAGGCTCTATACATAAAGCCTGTAGACATAAAGTAGTAGGGAAAATTCTAGAATAATTATTGGTACAGTAATTAAACATCTCATATAAAACAGACCCACTTGTATGTTTTTAAATGTATCAGCGAGGAAACTTAAGTAGCTGGAGTTTATTTAATAGAAATTTGTAATGAATAGATGGGTATTCTGTTTTTCCTTGTGCTGTAGGATCTTTTTTCTAATGTATGACAGAGAAAATAAATTTTATTTTTCTCTCTTTGAGACCCAACACAAATAGAAAGTACTTATGCTTGGTGTGGTGTTTCATAGTGTATGAATATAAAAAGCCCCTTTAAGTCCCCGCTACTAGGTACCCGGGTATAAAATAACATGTCCAAGATACTTTTTTTGTCGTTCTTGAGAATGTAGAAGGAGGCGTAGCTTCACAAGGTCTGGTCCTCAAATCTCATATAACTATGGTTTATAAAATGATCTTGTGTTAAAGCATTATTTTAAAAAACTTTTTAAATTAATATTGGACTAAAGACTAAAGAAGTAAGTGATAACTCAAATTGTTATTTCCATTAGGAATGTTAGATTTTCCAGGAAGTTGCTTAACTTTCCTTTTATTTGCTAGGATATATAACTTTTGTATCATTGATTTTTATACCATTTAATTATAAATATTTACCCAAGCAACTCTTCTTATACATTACAGTTTATTACTTTTCTGCATATTTGTAGAAACAGTTGCTTTTCTTTCTAAAATATCAATAATTTCACTCGTTTTTAGTCCCTAGGCCATCTAGATGTTTTCAGTAAACATTCGTTAGGTGCCTGTGCAGCAGTTTTGGTTGGGGCTCTCCATCTTGATACAAGAAAATCTTCTGGCAAGTTTTAGGTCTTTAGATGAACCAATTCAGCCGCGCATAGATTAGTTGACTCGTTTGGCATTGGAGTGATTTTTTGGCTATCCTGACTCACATTGGCTTCTTTTGTTTCTCTCAAACAGTTCAGAAGCATCTGACCTAGTTCATCTACTCCTCTCTCCCCTGAGTGCTAGGCCCACAGGCTTGTTCTTCTGCAGCCTTCAGGCTTACAGGGTATGAACAGAGTTATTTGCCAGGACTGAGGAGCTTTAGGCCAGTCCCCGCCCAGCAGCAGTAGGAGAGTGACGCCCTTATGAACCCTGAGGGGCTTTGGGCCATGATCCCCCCTCCCCCAGGCCCAGCCACAGAAATGTGATTATCAACTGCGTGTAGATGCTTGCCTGGAATCCTTTCTGGCTGTTAATAATCTTTTTATTAAAATAAACTCTCCCTTTCAGAAAATCAAAGGCAACTTAAGTTAATTCACTCGGGCACCACTTCTTCCTTCTCACCACAGTAGGAATTAGCAAGAAGCCAACAGAAGACAGTGGCTTTGGGAGTGAACACCCCAGGAAAGGGGTCTGGGCACCCCCAGGAAAGCTTCTTAATCCTGAATTTTTTCCAGGTCTGACATAGCTATGTGTCCCCTTTCACTCTGCTACCTTACATTAAAAATACCTTTTTAGGGACTTCCCTGGTGGTCCAGTGGTTAAGACTCCACGCTCCCAATGCAAGGGGCATGGGTTTGATCCCTGGTGAGGGAACCAAGATACTAATGCCGCGCAGTGCGGCCAAAAAAATTAATTAATTAAAAATAAAAATACCTGTTCAGACAGGGAAGCCAGAGAAAGATAAATATCATACAGTATCACTTGCATGTGGAATTGGGGAAAACAAGATACAAATGAACTTATTCACAAAACAGAAACAGACTCACAGACATAGAAAACAAACTTATGGTTACCAAAGGGGAAAGGGGCGGGGAGGGATACATCAGGAGTTTGGGATTAACAGATACACACTGCTGTATATAAAATAGATAAACAACAAGGACCTACTATATAGCACAGGGAATATCTTGTAATAACCTATAAGGGAAGAGAATCTGAAAAGATTTGTGTGTGTGTGTATCTGAATCACTTTGCTGTACACCTGAAGCTAACACAACATTGTAAATCAGCATACTTCAGTGGAAAAACAAACACCTGTCCAGATGTCTGTATTGCTACCAAACCCAGATCTCCCTCAGGGTATTCACCCTTGGATTCGCAGTACCTGGCACATAGTGGGTGTCTTCCTAGTTATTGATTTAAGGTTTTTGACGCCTTGGTGCTGTAGGTATTCTGTTCGACGATACCATGTCAGGATTAGTATCTGTTTTGCAAGGAGCCTACGTGGACTGTTGTGGTCCTGGTCCTACACACATGCCTGTGCTTTTCTCCCATGGGGCCCGCAGGCTGTTCAGAGCTGCTCCTAACTGTTAATCCTTTCAGCATCGCCCAGCTACCCCGGGTCTTTCTAAGTTTACACCCTGCATGGGTGTTACCCTCTCCCTGTGACCAGTGCTTGTTGACTTCCTGAATATTCCACTTCCCTTGGGAACCTACGCTAACAGAGGATTTGCTTCCCACACTTTGGTCAGCTGTCATTGCTGAGAACTTCATTCAGCATCTGCGCGCTGGGTCCCCAGGACCTCAGCCTGCGCTGCTTCACTCTGGGAATCCACTGGTGTTCGCCCCCCGCCCTCCGGGCCTTCCCATCACTCAGGGCTGCCCAGCTGAAAAAGCTGAGCCTTCCATATTCTCTTTCTGACCCCACCTCCTGTCCTTCCAGTAAGCCCCTCACTCAGCACCGCACACACCCTCCTGTCCTGTGACTTTGCACCTTGGCCAGTCCCGATTTTCTCCGGTTTTCCTCTTTGCTCAGCGCACTGACGTTGGACAGCCATGTCAGCTCTGCTCCATCCCTTAATCTCTTGCCACTAGGCCTACCAGCACCTGATTCACTCCACCTTCAGCTTCAGGGATGGTTAACATTGCTCGGAAGTTATTCTATTCTTTCCTGGATAATTTCTATCAAATTCCCCATAAGACATGTTCCAGAGTTCTCCAGGTTTTCCAGTCCAAATTACCTTTATTTTTTCACTTTTAGCAGATGATCGTATTTCCAAATTCAAGGAGAATGTTAAGATCAATTTAGGCGAGCTGTTGATCAAGATTCATCTTGAACGCGGGAGGCATTCCTTTATTTGACCTGCTCTGAGCCTAAGAACTCTTTCCTTATAGTGAACTGTACTATTTGCCTCTATAATATTCATATCCCAATTTTTACCTCTTAGAATACTTATACAGAAAGCTTTTCTACATAACAGAGATATAATATGTCTGTGATCTCTATGGTAATATTCATGTTGTCCTTCAACTTGTCCTTAATTGGCATAGGTCGAGAATCCCATTATCATCAAGGAATTTCTCCTTTGGATGAATTCCTGTTTTTCTGAAAGTGTGGTCCTGAGAGCTGAGCAAACAGGAACGGACTAACATCATTGGACTTGTCTGGCTGTCTCCTCGGTACCACATGGTAAATCATTCTAAAGTCAAATCTGTCCTCTCCCCTTCTATATTTTTGGCATCCATACTGCACTGTTTAATGAGGCATCCTTTTGCATACTTCTCTGCAAGTATACTTCCTGTGGGCGGGGCGCGTGCATTCTGTGACAGACTCAGTCAGGT